CAACCTTTAGTCTCGGCTTTAGGAAAATATCACATTTATCTGTGGATTTTCAAAGGCTCCAGTGTATTAATTTAATATATATACCTGAATATTAAGATGAAAGCAATTTTCCATTAACTGCCAGTGGCCTCATTTGTTACACTCGGCCCTAGAGGGCCTCGAACCTCTGACTAGTCTTACACGGTCTGCAACACATAGCGACCCTGGTTACAACAGAACAAAACAGTAGACAACAATAACAATAAAAAAGAATGTAAATTGTTTTGTTTTTATGTGCTGTTGAGCCGGTTCTGACCCATTTGTTGCTGTTGTTAGGTGCTGTTGAGTAGGTACTGACTCATAGCGATCCTATGCACAACAGAATAGAACACTGCCCAGTTCTAGGCTAACCTCACAGTTGTTGCCATGCTTGAGCCCATTGATGCTGCTACTTTGCCAATCCATCTTGCTGGGGTGTTCTTCTTTTCCCTGACCTTACCAAACAAGATATCCTTCTCCAGTGACTGGTCCCTCCTGACAATATGTCTGAAGTATGAGAGACAAAGTCTGGCCATCCTGACCTCTAAGGAGCACTCTGGCTGCACTTCTTCCAATACAGATCTGTTTGTTATTTTGGCAGCCCATGGCACTTTTAGTATTCTTCTTTAAATCAAAACTCAAATGCATCAGTTCGTCTGTGGTCTTACTCATTCACTGTCCAGTTTTCTCATGCATATGAGGTTATTGAAAATACCATGGCTTGGGTCAGGTGCACCTTAGTCCTCAAGCTGACATCTTAGCTCTTCAACACTTTAAAAGGTTTTGTGCCGCAAATTTGCATAATGCAGTATGTCATTTGATTTCTTGACTGCTACTTCCATGAGTGTTGATGGTTGATCCAAGAAAAATGAAGTCTTTGACGACTTCAATCTTTTCTCTATTGCTAAGAATGTTGTTTATTGGCCCAATGGTGAGGATTTTTGTTTTCTTTATATTGATATGCAATCTATACCGAAGGCTGTGCTCTTTGATATTCATCAGTAAGTATTTTAAAGACCTCTTCCCTTCCTTCCAGCAAGCAAGGTTGTATCATCTGCATATTGCAGGTTGTTAATGAGTCTTCTCTAATCCTGATGCCAGATTTTTCTTCATATAACCGACCCATAGTGACCCTGTGTAAGGTTTCCAAGGAGCAGCTGGTGAGCTTGTACTGCCAACCTTGTGGTTCAAAGTGACTTTGCAGTTCAGAGCATTAAACCACAGTGCCACACCAGGACCACAGAATGCAAATTACATGTTTTTTGTTTTTGTTTTTGTTTTTTTTATTATTATTATAAGCAAGACTTGACAATACAAAAGTTCCTAGAACTAATTTTAACACTAAGGTAACCTGACTCTTCTTATAAAAAATGGTATAGGCTTCAAAGTTTTTTTTTTTTTTTTTTTTTTTTTTTACATAAAATATACATGAATTATATTGAAAAATAGAAAAGAAAGTAAAAATTACCCATGCTTTACTACTTAGAAGTATGCTGTCAACTTTTTAGAGAAAGTCTTTTTTTAAATGTCTCTGTGTTTACAATATAACTTGTTTTTTTGTTAACTCAAAAAATTGGATGTTGTAAAGTTCTTAATATAGTTTGACCAGTGACCCAATTCATTATTCACATTTAGATTGTTTCCAGTTTTTCATCATGTTTCTTTTCCTATTTGTCCAGTTCTTCTTAATAATAAACTCTGTAAAGCAGAATGTTAGCAGCTATATTTGAAAGAATGTAAATGCTCTAAGAGGTAAGATATATCAAGAATTGCTAGCTTAATGCTCCTTGTCCTGCTTTTGCATCATTTTAGTCTCTTTCCCATTTTTGTTTTTCTCCACAGTTGCAGTACCATGCAGGTCTAGCATCTGGCCTTTTAAACCAACAATCATTGAAACGTTCTGCTAACCAGATGGGAGTATCTGCTAAACGTAGACCCAAGGCTCAACCCACAACTCTCGTCTTACCACCTCAGTAAGTAATGGGGTTGAAAATTGCTCTTGCCCTGGGTGAACTCTACTTTGTACTTGCTTTTAGTTACTGAAAAGTTAGCATATTTGTAAAATTGTTTCTTTCTCTTCAAAAGGTAACTATTAGATTAGAAACCAAGCATGAAGATGAATATTTTGCATTGTTCATATTTTATCTATTTTGTGATGACTTTTTCCCCTAGGATTTTTAAGTATCTCTATATTATTTGTTTAATTACCACATCCTCAAAGTTGGCAAAACAACAGTGCTGTCCTTCTTATTTTACAAATGAGCCAGTTGAGGAATACATTTTGACAAGCTCTGGACTGCCTAGAGAATCTGGTAGATTCTGGGATTAGCATCTGTGTGGAGTCAGATTTTCCTTTTTAAATTGTAATGTGTGTGTATCCCCTTGCTACCCCCTCATTGGTGGGATAACAAATACAATAACGTTCATACAGTGAACATCTTTATCATTTTTTTGCACATGCATACACCCATGTTAATTTTGCTTCTACCTGAACATCATTTAATGGTATCATACAGTAATTTTTCATATTGGCAATTTTTTTCTCTTTGAACATAGTATGTTAGAGTCATCCAGAATGTTCTTTTTATTGCTGTGTAGTATTCCTTTGGCATAATTGATTTGCTTTTTGTGTTATTTTGTATCATAAACACTCGTAGATTAGTATCAAAGCTTACTCCAGGATGCTGAATCAGAAATATGAAAATGTCATTTCTTGCTGGCAGCTTTTCTTTCAGTTTGCACACTTACCTGAGAGGGACAATGCTTCCCAAAAGCTTGACTTGAACTTTAAACTCGTCCTCTAGTATGTTTTCTTATAGCTCATTTGTTTACATCCTCAACTACAAACTATATTTAAAATTTTCCAATCCAAAGGAATATTTGCAGTTAAGACTCGATTATGTTCCTTTGATCATAATCTCATTTCATTTTGTTTGTTCAGCAAGTATTTATTATATACTTATTGTGTGTCAGATACTGTTCTAGGCTCCAGAATACAAGCATGAGCAAGACAGAAATGATCTCATGTTCATGGAGCTTTTTCAGAGTGGGGAAAAAAGAATGAACACACACAAACACAAACAAAATAAGCAACTTTATAATAATATAAGAATACAACATCATAAATTGATATAATAATTGTATAAGCCATAACATTCAGGTTGTGATTAGTGATCGGAAAATAAGTAAATACGGTAGCTGCGTGTGGGAAGGTGGGAAACTGTTAAGTAGGATGATCAAAGAAGACATTTTTAAGGAGACAGTGCTAGTCATAGATTGGAGAATGAAGAGAATGTCACATCAGGAGCTGGGGGTCATCATAGGGATGACGCCCTTGAATGTCTTTTGCTGGTAGATGTTTTTTAGACAACCATTTCTATGATTTTCAGGGTTTGTTTCATATTTAACATGTGGTTTTATAACAGCCTCCAGGATGTATTTTTTTTGTATGCTGCATCCACACGTAAGATATTTTTCAGAGACTGTATATAGGGACAGCTGCTTTTAGTGATATAAAACAGAGTTTTCACTATTTTACATAAAGCTTCTTAAGGAACATTATCTGTTGTTTCTTGTGTGTTGATTTGGTGATTCTGCATCTCTTACCTTTTAGCTCTCTAAAGTCTAATGAGCTTTGTAACTTGTCACTTTCCCTGCATGGATTGTCTACTGAGGCAGGATGTTTGGCGGAGAGTGAAAGACTTTCTAATGGTCCCATAAGACTGGAGCCAAAAAGTGTTTGTTGCTAACTCTCTCTTGACAAAAGTCAGTTCTTAGTCCATCTGTTCACCATTTGTTAATTTGCATTGGCTTGAAACCTGTTTACAGGTGACATGCTATTATGAGGACACTTAGAGACTATTTTAAGCACCAAGGCAATCGACAGACTCTGTTCTCATGCCAGAAAAAGAGAGGTGTTCACAACTGTCATTATACATTTATAATAAATCACTCAGAATACTTCATTTCAAAGAGAAAAGTGGTTACTCTGTCCTAAGAATACAGCATTGAAATGCTTTTCCTGTAACTAGTAGCTTATCTCCTGTGAAAATTGACTGCTGCCTTTTCACATCAGAGAACTTTTTGGACTCATATGATGTTGGAATCCCTTCATAGAAATGCTGTTCAGTAGGTAGGGTCTGTTTCTGGAAGACATTAATGAATTTTCTGCACTTTTATTAAATACCTACTGCGTGCTACTCATGGTGCTGAGTTGTCAGGAATAAAACACACAAAGAAGACATAGCTGCTTACCTAAAAGGTTATAAAAGTTGTTCTGAAGTAAAAATAAATAGTACATCAATACATTAATAATATAAATGAAGAAAACAAAGGCAACATCAAAGAAAAGGAACAAATAATAATACTGTTACTTATTACTGAGAAAATTACTGGTAAGGTTTTGGTGAGTATTTATCTTTATCATTTTTAAAAACAAACCTTCAAAAAATCTTTTGTAAAATTGTTCTGTATCATATCCCAATATTTATTGTAGTTGTTAAATTTTAATGGTATAATTTGATCTATGGGATGTTTGTATTTGCATAATAATTGGCCATGTTATGGTTGTGTTCTGTAGAAGCTACAAATGATAAATTCTTTTATTACAAGCAAGGCATGACCATAACAAGATCTCTCAGCTAACTTTGTCATTAAGAAAATCCCTTGAGTCTCCTTATAAAACAAGACTCATGCCTTCCAAGGTTGCTAAATATATATTGCTGTGTAGCAATTGCCCCAAAACTTAGTGGATTAATAACAATAAACATTTATCACCTCTCACAGTTTCTCTGGTGTGGGAATCTGGGATTGGTTTTCGGAGAGATTCTAGTTTGGCATCTCACAAGTTACAATCAGTTATCATCAGCCAGGGCTGATGGCATCTGCAAGTTTAACTGAGGTTAGAGGGGATCTGCTTCCAAGTTTGCTGGCGCATGTGGCAGAGGTGCTGGCTATTGACAGAAGACCTGCTTCACCTCTCCACATAGGCCTTTTCGAAGGCTGCTTAAGAAGTTCCTTACCCTGTGAGGTCTGGCTCCTCTCAGAGAAATAACAAGGCAGAGGTGATCCTTTATAGGACCTGCTTCAGATGACACAGCTTCAGTTTGATTGGCTTCTCATTTGTTAGTAAGTGTAACTCATATTCAAGGGGAGTGGATGAGGCTCTACCTTTTGAAGGCAGGTGTGTCAGAGAATTTGCAGACATAGTTTCAAATCATAGTTGCCAGGGGGGAGAGACATTCCAAATAGGGATGAGTGACTGAGCCTATAAGCCCCATTCACTTTTTTATTTAGCTATTATTTGCTGAGTGTCTCCCAGTGTTGTAATGGGGATTCAAAGATGAGCAAGATTTTGACTTTCAGGAAGCTCTTAAGTAGAAATGAAAGAGCAAACAAGTAGCACAACACCATTAATGAAGTATGCTAAGTCTGACAGTGGACACCATCCCATAGTGCCCAAGGCTGTGGGTAAAGTGCTGAGGTAGATCGTCCACGTAGGGTGGCTCAACCAAATGTGAGAGTTTTCCCCCAGCCAGCTGTGAAGGGTAGAAGTTTTGTTTTATTAAGAGAGCTAAATGCAGTCTTGCATACACTTTACAGGTTCCTAAGGAAAGGTTTTATTTTTAAACTGTGGAGGGTAATAGTGAAGGGCAAGTGGCTAGATCCTCACACTCTCTCCTTTGTAATTTTATGCAGCTGTTAATGCAGTGATGAATGGGTCTCTGCATTGGCTTGTTGGAAGTTGGGTGGTACCAAGGCTACTCCAGCAAACCACTGACTATACTTAACTGTGCTGAACTGCAGGCATGGCAAGAATGCAGGAGATTGTGTACATTGTGTTTGCTTTTAAAATATAGTTGGTTTTAACAGTCTTGAAGACTCAGACTCCCCCCACCCCCCGCCCGGGTTCCTGCAGGATTAGTTATTTGTGAGATTAATATCTTTCTTCCCCACCAAAGAGACTTATAGAAGGCAAAGATGTTGTTTGCCATGAAATAGCTTTTGCCATGTGTTAACCCTGACTAAGTGGTCTCATATCCATGATTCCCAGATATTCATATTAAATCTTGCCGAAGGGGCATATTGTTATCACAAAGAAGCTATGTTCCCTGTTGCCATATAAACATCACCAGCTTTTGACTCTTGTAGTACTGAAAGCAACCTAGAGAATGACTATTTTATTTGATTGATCTAGTAAGTTGTATTTTGAAATATCTATGTTGTGGTGCGGTGCTGTAGAGTAAGCATTGGACTGCTAATCACAGGTTCATGGTTCAAACCCACCAGTTGCTCTCAGAAACCCTGCCCATCACAACTTTTATTTAATATATATCAGATGTTATTGTTAAGTGCCATTGAGTCGGTTCTGACTCTCGGTGACCATGTGCTGGATTTGAACTGCCAGTCTTATGGTTAACAGTCCAGTATTGATTCTAGAGCACCACACCAGTACTCTTATATCAGATGTAACTATGTTTATTTGTGTTCTTACTTAGATTGTCTTAACTTCACAGTATGGTTTTTATTGTTGCTGGGGTATTGACTTTAATCAATATGACCAAATTGAGTGGTCTGTGTTGTTTGTCTTGGGTTTGAGTAGCTTGGCCTGAGGGTAAAGTGGCAGCTGGGGTGAAAGACTCGTGTTTTAAGGTAGATGCTATACTTGACCAACCAATTGCCATCAAGTCAGTTCTAGCTCCCGACAACTCCATGTGTGTCAGACCCTTATGTATTCTTATTCTACTCACATTCCATTTCTGAGAAATGGTTTTTCAGAAAAATTTAAAAACAAACTACCCCTAGCCCCCAGAAATTATGAGAATAGGCAGTTTCTGTTGTATCATGTTCTTTTCTTTTTTTAAATTTTTTTTTATTGTAAATTGAGTGAAGGTTTACAGACAAGATCATGAGCTTTACATTCAACAAATTATACTCAATGGTTACAGTACCCTCCCTGTAACAGTTATTCTAC